TTTTTTTTTTTTCCTTTTTTTTTTGGAAGAATTGTGGCATTGTATTATAAATGGAAATAGAGGCCGGGAAAAACTCAACAAACAACCTGGAGGAAAAACTGGGGCCATTACCCAGCAGCTTAGGCTTGTGCTGGAAACCGGGTCCAGCGTCGGATTCCCTGGCACTTCCCAAATGACAACTCTAAGGCTTCCAAATTAAACTTGAAGCGCCGAATCATTTGAAGTTTGAGCACTTGATCACTCCACCCAGTAACCCTTTTTTTTTACTTCTTTTTTTTTTTTTGAAGGCCCTTGTGCAAGGCCTCTATCCTGGTGGTGGTAAGAGCACCACCGGGATTGAGGCTTTGCTCCACCCAGGATCCCTATACCAACTTACGTCCAAAAACCGTCTAACGTGTCCCTTGTATCTCAAAGCGCATCCTTACTCTCGCTACAGAAATCCGAACACAGTTGCACAACAGAAATCTAGGTTCTGTCTAAAACGACGGAAGGAAAAGCCACGACCAGGTGGCAACGGCCATACCACAATTTCATCTATAAAACGTAACCTGTCCTCTAGAGCGAGGAAGCAGCCATGGGCTAATAATCAGATTCCCTTCCTGGGAAACAGAAGCCAACTGACCCGTTTAACGCCCATGTACGCAAAAACCACAGTGGACCTCTCTTTTGCCAATCAGCCAGGATAATCAGTCGAATCTGGGACCTGATTGCCCCTTTCGTTTTGTTTTTTTTTTCAGACAGTCAAACGGATTTTTCCGGCATATGGGTACACCGGCCGGGTTAACTCATCACTCGCGGAATAATGTATACTTAACCGGTTGCAGTCTTTGGGTTTGCCCCTTTCGATTGCTCTGAGTGAGTAGATTTGTCTCTGAACAGTTTTTGGTTCCGAGCTTGCCAAAGAATCTGCATAATGGCCCCTCTGCAAACCTGCACCACGTACCCCCAACCAGAGTCATATGTCATTGCCGGAGAACTGCAGCCCGCGAACGCATCCTCGAATCTGACCATGGGATCCCAGCTCCTTCCCACCTTGACCAATGCTTCCTCCACCACTGCCAGATCACTAGGGACTAGTAGGGAGAAGGGGCAGTCAATCCAGAGGTGGGAGGTAGTGTCCCAGACCCACTCACAACGCGGGCAGACGGGGGAGATTGTCATACCTTTTGACCGTAGCCAGAACGCTGAAGGGACTGACCGCATAGGCATAGACTGCAACCACAACAGGCTCGCTGCTGTCTGATCTGGTTGTTAACTTCTGCACCTGCCTCAAAAGCTTCAAAAGTTTGTCTTCATTAATCGGGGTCTGTAGGGAACGCCGCCCACCTGTTGATGGCCAGGACTAGAGGAG